TACACCCCAAAGATGGATGTAACACGGTATGAAAGAAGGAATTATCTATCGGTATCCTCCCCTGCTAGACAGCAATGTTGTTTGGCAGAGGCGTGTTGATCTCAGAACTGGATGGACAACGAAAAAAAAATCCATTGGCTCCCATATATTTATATATTCTGTATATTTATGGGCGGCACAGTGGCTTAGTGGTTAGCACGTCTGCCTTGCAGTAAATGGGTCATGGGTTCGATTCCCGACCATGGCGCCTCCTGCATGGAGTTTGCGTGGGTTTCCTCCGGGTCCTCCGGTTTCCTCCCACACTCCAAAGACATGCTGGTAGGTTAATTGGATTCTGTCTAAATTGTCCCTAGTATGTGAATGTATGAATGTGAGTTAGGGACCTTAGATTGTACGCCCCTTGAGGGTTAGGGACTGATGTGAATGTACAATATATATATGTGTAAAGCGCTGCGTAAATTGACAGCACTATATAAGTACCTGAAATAAATAAATATTTGTCTAGTTGCATGGAGTTCTGAATCCTGAGCTGGCAGTTGATATCTGAGCAGAGGTGGGCATGTAGTCAATGGCTTTTGGCCCAGAAGCCATTGGTTGGCTAGACGTTTGTTTGGTATGGAGAAGAGCGACCTTGATGGCAAGCGCTGGCCTATTTAATTCACTAAGTGTTCTACATTGTCTAATCTATAATATCCTCCACAGTCAACATTATTGGGCTCCTCCAAACATGACACCAACACTGTGATGTTCTTGTATGTGTGGTCCCTAACTATAGAGATGTATTTGCCAACCACCAGCAGCTGATGGATCTCATTATTTTGTAATGGACCCCCCGCCAAATACAACAGGCATAATTGCTGGAGAATGAAAAAAGAGGGAGAGAACAATGTTCTTGGACAACTTGCCAGCCAGCTTGCTAACAACCGAATTAACCTGTCTAACAGTATGCGTTTATAACAGGGGTTTAGTTAGCACACATTTGCAAATACATACGTAAGCCACAGAGCCACGACACGGCACCCTGATCATCTGTGGTCCTAACTCTAAAATTTGTGAGTCCCCATAGTAGAGGCACATGCATTTAATGGATAGATCAAGGGCAGGTGGACCTGAGGGAGCCACCCCTCTTAAAGGCAAAGGAGTGCACTGGACCCCAGCATGTAGCACAATGGCAACCAGGGTCCTAGTGCACCCACGTACCAAAAAATCAAACATGCATAAAAGTGGCCGCCCGCCCAAGTCTATAACTGGCTTATGAAGCAAGGACACATAAACAGGCATCACATAGTGAAAAAAGAGGGAGAGAACAATGTTCTTGGACAACATGCCAGCCAGCTTGCTAACAACCGAATTAACCTGTCTAACAGTATGCGTTTATAACAGGGGTTTAGTTAGCACACATTTGCATTCACACATTACACATTGCATTACACATTCACTAAGTGTTCTACATTGTCTAATCTATAATATCCTCCACAGTCAACAATATTGGGCTCCTCCAAACATGACACCAACACTGTGATGTTCTTGTATGTGTGGTCCCTAACTATAGAGATGTATTTGCCAACCACCAGCAGCTGATGGATCTCATTATTTTGTAATGGACCCCCCGCCAAATACAACAGGCATAATTGCTGGAGAACCCTGCAAAATGTTATCTCGTCTAATGTTGGTCAAGGACCCTTCCACAGTGGTTGCCACAGGGGGTCCTGAATCAGCCAGTTATCTGTGCAGTTATAGCCACTGAGAGTTTAAATCTTGTTTTCAATTACTCTTTGCCCAAGTGTTCCGTTAGCAAATATATTTTCAAGTGTTCTTGAAAGTCTACTGATGACGGGGGTGGGAGGGGGTCTTTGGTTGCAAGCAAATGTGCAGAATTCAGTCTGGTGTTGTGAAGGTGCAATTTGCTATCTTGAGAAAATAGCAAATCTGTTTTCTTCTAGTTACTATACAATAATGTTTTATTTGAAAATGTTCACTGAAGAAATTGGGGGGATGTGCCAAGTATGTGCTGGTGCATTCAATGGATGTTGCCTCATTATCAGAAATCTATGATTTCCAGGTCTTCAAGTAATACTAAACACACACTGTTACATTTGCATCCTCTCTTCTCTTTCTGTATGTGAATGATGGCACTGTAATTATTTTTATTTAAAAAAAAAAAAAAAATCTAACTACCTTTTTTCCTAATCGATATACAGCCGTCACATGACCCAGTTCTTTCCTAGTCTGCCTGCAGGGAAACATAAGCAGGAGGAGCTTCTAGTCCTCTGCTACTGGTCACATGTTCAAAATTAAAAAAAAACAGTCTTTGGGATACAGAGTAAGAATAAATAACGTTAAATATATATATTTGAAATTAAATCTTTATTACTGTCTTGGCAATAACATGGTGTGGGTGGATTTCTGCCAGTCACAGGCTGTGTCACACCTCTCCAGCCTGTGTCTTAGGGAGGTGAAGCCTCCATCAATCAAGATGTAATATCCCACCCCCATTGTGCTTATCTGGTTAGTGGGCATAAAGGAGAAGGAAGGGAGTGGGCTGTCATTTACCACGGTGTATACACGGACATTGTTACTCTATAGTCACATGGGCTGCTCAGATGTGATGGGGTGCAGTAGGTGCCAACGGTGCTCTGCAAAATCCCCAATGGCAGTGGGACATGGACAGGAGGGGGAGATACAGTGAGGAACAGAAGTATTTGAACACCCTGCGATTTTGCAAGTTCTCCCACTTACAAATCATGGAGGGGTCTGAAATTCACATTGTAGGTGCATTCCCACTCTGAGAGACAGAAATTTTAAAAACAATTCAGGAAATCACATTGTATGATTTTTAAAGAATTTATTTGTCTTTTGTTGCTGAACATAAGTATTAGAACACCTAAGAAAAAGCAAGAATTCTGTCTCTCAAAGACCTGTTACTGGGCCTTTTAAAAAGTCCACCTCTACTCTACTCATTAATCTAACTTAGTAGCATCTGTCTGAGCTCTTTAAAGGCACCTGTCCACCCCACAGTCAGTCAGACGCCAACTACTACCATGGGCAAGACTAAAGAGCTGTAAAAGACCCCAGAGACAAAATTGTGGACCTCCACAAGGCTGGAAAGGGCTACGGGGCAATTGCCAAGCAGCTTGGTGAAAATAGATCAAATGTTGGAGCAATTGTTAGAAAATGGAAGAGGCTAAAGATGACTGTCAGTCTCCCTCGGACTGGGGCTCCATGCAAGATCTCACCTTGTGGGGTATCACTGATGATAAGAAAGGTGAGGAATCAGCCCAGAACTACAAGGGAGGAGCTGGTCAATGACATGAAGAGAGCTGGGACCACAGTTTCAAAGGTCACTGTCAGTAGAACACTACGCCGTCATGGTTTCAAATCATGCATTGTACGGAAGGTTCCCCTGCTCAAGTCATCACATGTCCAGGCCCATCTGAAGTTTGCCAATGACCATCTGGATGATCCAGAGGAGGCATGGGAGAAAGTCATGTGGTCAGATGAGACCAAAGGAGAACTTTTTGGTCTAAGCTTCACTCGTCGTGTTTGGAGGAAAAAGAAGGATGAGTTGCATCCCAAGAACACCATCCCTACTGTGAAGCATGGGCGTGGTAACATCAAGCTTTGGGGTGCTTTTCTGTGAAGGGGACAGGACGACTGCACTGTATTAAGGAGAGGATGAATGGGGCCATTTATTGTGAGATTTTGAGCAACTACCTCCTTCCCTCAGTCAGAGCATTGAAGATGGGTCGTGGCTGGGTCTTCCAACATGACAACGACCCGAAGCACACAGCCAGGATAACCAAGGAGTGGCTCCGTAAGAAGCATATCAAGGTTCTGGAGTGGCCTAGCCAGTCTCCAGACCTAAATCCAATAGAACATCTTTGGAGGGAGCTGAAACTCCGTGTTGCTCAGCGACAGCCCCGAAACCTGACAGATCTAGAGGAGATCTGTGTGGAGGAGTGGACCAAAATCCCTGTTGCAGTGCAAACCTGGCCAAGGACTACAGGAAACGTTTGACCTCTGTAATTGCAGACAAAGGCTTCTGTACCAAATATTAACACTGATTTTCTCAGGTGTTCAAATACTTATGTTCAGCAGTGCAAGACAAATACATTCTTTAAAAATCATACAATGTGATTCCTAAGTTTTAGTTTTTTTAAATTGTGAGTGGGAATGCACCTACAATGTGAATTTCAGACCCTCCATGATTTCTAAGTGGGAGAACTTGCAAAATCGCAGGATGTTCAAATACTTCTGTTCCTCACTGTAGAGAACAGCAGTTTTTATGCTGAATACAGAAAACGAATCCCATAGTGAGTGAGTATGAACAGCATGTAATATAGCACATAGTTACAGTTTTTAATGATGTGGTTTTAATGGTAGTAGAAAGTGATAGCAAACACATAAGTAGCAATATACAGTACATAATGATATCTGCTTTCGGTTATAAATGGTCTCCTTAAGCTAGCCATATGCGGAACACATTTCATCTGATTCCTGCTGAATTGGCCAAAGTTTGTTCCTTGGGTGGCCCTACCAGCAACAAGGAGATTCCACCATCCACACTGTTTAGTGTGGATTAAGGAATGAAGTATATAGCCAACTTTAGAGTTCACCTATACCCCACCATACCCACAAGTTGTAGACCCCGGCACTTTGAGCAATAGCCCCAGTTATTCAGTCAAGTTCCCCAGGTCTCGGATATGCATCTACTACTCCCTAAGGTGGGTAGGAGCACTTTACGGCTTGTGTCTAGGTGAGCGTAAAGTGGTTGAATTATCTGCACATATTTTAAAGTGGATCATTGCCAATTTTCTTACTGGATCCTAGTAGCTTAGAATATATATTCTGCTATTGTGTTGGTTGTGCATGTATGGCATTTTTATTAAAGTAATAGTCACTTTAATTCATTTGAATGCTTTAGAGTGCCGTCATTCCTCAAAAAAAAAAATCATTTATTTTGAACTTTTTTGACTCATTCGTTGCTCTTTTTCCTTTAGAATTTATCCTGCCGCCTCCCCCCCTCCCAGCGATGACTCCATCTTGAGCCCTGTGTCTTTTCCGCCTCCTCCACCCAACTTCAGTGATGATGTTCTTGGCTCCCCCACATCTTGTTTTCCCCCCTCCTCCACCTCCTGAGTTTGCCGAACCCTTCCCGCCCCCTGCAGAGGAATCCTTCCCATCACCACCTCCGCTGGAGGAAGCCAATGATATCCAGGTAAGAGAGACAAAATAGGATTTGTTGAATATTTTTATTGCCTGGTGCCCCATACAATATTTTAGAGCCATGTCCTCCACCCCTCCTTTTGTTTCTAGAAACTAAACGATACCTTCTTTTTTTTTTTTTTTTTTCTAAGCACGGCCTTGCTACCAATGGTCATGCTTTGTTAACTGACTAATAAACTATTTTTATTTTTAAGATATATTGGATCAGGATTTTGGTAGTTATTTGGATACTGTTAGTTAAGATGTTGCTTTCCAAGGTCCAATGGGTCAGAAGAGGAGGTCCCCAAAATGACAATAGTTAGATGGTACAATGAAGGGAGCGGTAGACATACAGCTGACAGTCCAGCTCAGCTTGTATTTGTCATAAAGGTACAAACTATAGACCATGTATTTTGAGGTTTCTTCTGAAGCCCCCCAAAAGTGTTGGCGTTAATTTTTACTCTCATGACCAGTGGTCCTTAAACTTCAGCCTGTGAGCCAGATGCAGTCCTTTGCTTACCTTTTAAAAGGCCTTTGGGGCACTGTTCCTCCTACTAATATGATGGGGCACCATTCCTTAAATTCACACCAATAAAGAGGCATATTTCCTCCAATTTACATCAATGATGGACTATCATTTCTTCTACTGACACCCAATGATGGGCACAATTTTTCCCATTAACACCACTGATGAGGCAGAATGCCTTTAATTGACACCATTGATCAGGCACAATTCCTTCCACTGATAGGGCACAATTCCTTCCACGGGCGCCATTGATGAGGCACATTTCTTCCACCAACTCCATTGATGGGGCACTATTCCTTCCACTGGCACCAAAAATGGGGAATTATTTCACTCATAGATGCCAGTTATGGGTTACTTTTGCCTCCATGGACACCAGTGATAGGCAGTGCTGGAACACCAAAATAGTCAGAGTAGACACTGGCCTATGGGCCACACGCTTTTTAAGGGTCCCATGACAGTCGATCAAAATAATATTGATTTGATCCCGAAAGAAAATTACAATGAAGCTTTCCTTACAAAAGGCAGAAAAAATTAATCAACCCAAAGAAACAAAAACTTTTACAATAAAGATTCTCTATAGAGAAAATAATGTATAGTGTACCCAAATATATAAATCATGGACATCAGGTTCACATTACAGTATTTTCTCCTCAAATCTCATCTTTCAGCTGTCAGTTTTGTAATAAAAAATGTTGGTACAACCTAGGTACGTGTAATGTACAGTAGTGGTGGTCATCTCCATCTCCCAGCTGACATGCACTCTACTTACTTCAATGGTACCCCATGAGCAACCTGCGAGGGGGGGCCCAAGCTTTTCGCTGCCTAGGGGCCTCCACAGAATTTAATCCAGCACTGGTGATAGGACATTATTACTCCTCCTGCTGACCACAGGCACTAACTTATTTTTTTCCACTCCCACTGACCACTAACCCTTGGTGCATATGTTGCTCCTTCTCTTCACCAAACCTGAGGCATTGATGTTGGGGCATTTTTTATACCCATTGGTTACAGTCTAGCCCCTCGTAAAGTCTGAAGGCCAGTGATCTAGCCCTTTTGTTTAAAAAGTTTAGGACCACTAACCCTTAGTGAATGTGTTGCTCCCTCTCTCCACCAAACCTGAGGCATTGATGTTGGGGCATTTTTTATACCCATTGGTTACAGTCTAGCCCCAATGGGCAAACTACGGCCCGCGGGCGTATACGGCCCGGCGGACCTTCTAATCCGGCCCGCGGAGCGTGGCAAACATCGGCTGTCAGAATGTGTGTAGGCGGGGCAGCGTGAGGAACGTGAGGGGAGCTAGGCTCCTCTCACAGTCCGCCCTGAAGACCGGAACGGCGCGGGAACACGGCGAGAGGAACGCGCGGAGCAAAGGTAAGTGAATTGACACAGGGGGGACTTGGGGACTTTAATATGGGGGATGAATTACTATGGGGGACTTAATATGGGGGATGAATTAATATGGGGAATGAATTACTATAGGGGGGATGAATTACTATAGGGGGGATGAATTACTATAGGGGGGATGAATTACTATATGGGGGATGAATTGCTATATGGGGGATGAATTACTATGGGGGATGAATTACTATATGGGGGATGAATTACTATGGGGGATGAATTACTATATGGGGGATGAATTACTATGGGGGATGAATTACTATGGGGGATTAATTACTATGCTTACTATGGGGGAATATTACTATACTTACTATGGATGACACATACACATCATTCATCTACTCTTGGTCCGGCCCCCGGGTCCAATATATGAACCCATTGCGGCCCTCAAGTCAAAAAGTTTGCCCACCCCTGGTCTAGCCCCTCGTAAAGTCTGAAGGCCAGTGATCTAGCCCTTTGTTTAAAAACTTTAGGGACCCCTACGCATGATGAGCAAAAGGTAAACTAGATTGTCATTCACAAATCTGGTTCTTTCTTTATTCTACCCAATTTTCTGCTGTTCTTATTAATTTGAAACATTACATTGCTCAAAATATGTATAATCTACACAGTCCAGATTGCTTCTGTTGATATAAGACCCAACTTATGAAGGCTGAAATTGGTGTTTTGTTCATGTTTATTGATCACTTTATCTGTTTTTTTTTTTTTTAACTGATGACAATAATCCACCTGAATCAATTCTTTAAATGCAATTGTTTTTTGTTGTTTTTTTTTTTTTACATGTATGTAAAGGCAATTTTTTGTAGTTTGTGGATAAGATATGGAAGGTTTAGGCCCTCTGTCAAGTTTTAAACACTGCTTGTGTCCCTGCTGGGGAGCTCCACCTTGTTTGTCCTGGTGAATATTGTTACTGAGACAGAAAGTGGGGGGGAAATCCAAAATGTTGTACCAAAGTCAGGGGTTATCTTTAATGGGGGCAAATTCTCCAGGGACATCTAAGATGAAAATTCCCCTCAGTTTGGGGGGGGGGTGTCCTCTATTTTCCTGTGGTGTCAGAAGGGAAATCTCCCCAGCAAGGACACAGAAAGCAAAAATTGACCTGATAGGGGCTTTAACTTTAAAAAATGGCTATACATACACTTTGCTGGATTCAACTATTTTTCATTAGTCTACCAATCACTTTTTTACTTACACACCACAGCTTTTTCAGTTTGATTTTCTGGGAACTGTGGAAAAATTAAGTCCTTGTACAGGACGGAAAACAAAAGTTTGTCAGTCTTTATAATTACCGTAATAGAAAGCTGTGTTGGTAAATTACTTTTCAGAAAAGAGGGAAGTGCAGATATTTCTAATGTTTGTTTTATATACATTCCTTATCCTATAATGTTTGTTTCTTTTTAAGTGATGGTATTTTGGTTACAAAGATTATTTTTTCACTCGCTTGTCATCTTTTCATTCACCCCATTAATTTCTTTCTGTTTGAAGTTCGGGCTTTGCTTCCTTTAATCTCTCCACCAGTCATTGAGTCTTGTTTCAGCAAGAGGAGTCTGTCATCTTAGTTACCAATCTCTCCAATTTTCACCCCCCCCCCCCCCCCCAAAGTACTATTAATTTTTGTTTTAAAGAATGTTTCTTCATAGGCATGCCCTCTAACATATATACCGTATGTGCAGTGGAAATCTGAATGGATGTTCTTTTAAACTTGACTTTAATCTACAAAAGTACTTTAATCTTGGTTCACAGGTTCCACCACCACCTCCTCTGGCTCCACCTATCCCACTTCTATCTGCACCGAAACCTGCTGCACCGGTACCTTCCAAGCCCACTGCCCCATCAATGTTTACTCCAAAAAATACTCCTACATTTTCTCCCAAGACTGCTGGTCCATCGTCTTTCAGCCCTAAGCCTGCCGCTCCTGCACCAGTTGCTCCAAAGCCTGCTTCTCCATTTGTTCCAAAAGTATCTGCTCCTCACACATATTCTCCTTCACCTCCTGCTGCAGACCCTCCACCGGCTCAGACCTTCTCCCCAAAGCCAAGTGCATCATCATTTTCTCCAAAACCAACTCCATCTCAAACCTTCACTCCGAAGCCTTCTGCTCCACACACTTTCTCTCCCCGGCCAACAGAGCCAAGTTCAGAGGCCTTGCGACCACCAGAGCAAAAATTTCCACCACCACACCCTGTGGTGTCTGAACCTCCAGCGTCCTCCATACCATCATCTGTACGATCACCAGGATTCAACTATGCACATCAACGAGAAAAGCCTCAAGTGCTTGAAAAAGCCAGACCGGATGAAAATGCCAGGGTTCCAGCCCCGCAGATGGAGTTTAGCAGAAATTTTGTGCCACCAGAGAGTGTTAAAAGTGGAGTGATAAAAGCCAATGGGACATCTGGCCCTAAACCACAACCAGAACATTTTCAGGCACCAAGGCTGCAGTCAGATGGCATGCAGACCAGAGGACCTCAGCCAAGCCCACAAAGACCTTCTGATCCTGTAAGGAACTTTAATGTAAATGCTTTAAATTTAACATTGGGCAAACCTGTAAGGGTCATGTAAGGGAGAATTGAAGGCAACAGAGGTTGTAAAGTTTTTTTAACTTGTTCAATTTTATGTTTGTCCAGCAGTAGGTGGTCAGTCAGCCTAAGGGATCCAAACATGCATCCCTCTATCTGGCCAAAACTGTCTGGATTGGTTGGGCTTCTTTTGGTTAGTGTATTTTACAGACAAAAATGTATTTTAGTGTTTGATAGTGTAGCAAAACATTAGAAGCCTTCTCTAGTTTTTACTGCCTCCTTGTTGTCCTATTGACCATTGTCCCCAGGACTGAAAGTGAGGGAAAATCCCAAATTTTATCTTGTCATGAGGGGCGGACTGACCATTTGGAAACTCGGCACTGCCCGAGGGCCCAGGGTCAGTAGGGGGCCCCATGAGATACCCCTGGTACTTTTTTTCATAGGCTTTTTTGAGTTTGGGCAAGGACACAGGGGCCCCCTGATCCCCTATTGGCCGGGGGCTCCATGAGTTGTCAGTCCGTCCCTGCTTGTCGCTAGGACAACTGTGTGAAGAGAATGTCCCATATGTGAGATTTTCTCTTTTCTCTGTTTGAGATGGGAAATTTAAGAGAAATTGTACCTATTGGAGAAAAAAAAAAAAATCAACAAAAAAATTGCCTTTTAGATTATGGGTATCCACCATTTTAGTCCAGGTTAGAATTTGTTTGGATAATCACCAGGTGCATCTGCAGGCCCCATGAACACGATGTGCTACTGTGAATGGCCGTATGTGCTCTTGGAATTGTCAGCCAGGAGAAATATCATTGGGCAGATGAATTGATGGTTGAGGGTAGGCAGTTATTCTGATGTCATTTTATTTTCTTGCAGAATCGGACTGCTGGCTCCACTACCCTAAACATGAAGGAAGTGGAAGAACTGGAGATGCTGACTCAGCAGTTAATGCAGGAGATGGACAAACAGCCCACAGCAGAAGGACACTCCATGGGTACATTCCATTTTTTTTTTTTTTTTTTTTTTTGTAATCACTGAAGCATCTTAGTGCACGGGTGTATTCCAGTATTATTCTTTATAGAAGCCCGACCCAAGAAAGATATGATGACGCTATTGACCAGGGACGGACTGACCATTTGAAAACTTGGGCACTGCCCGAGGGCCCAGGGTCAGTAGGGGGCCCCATGAGATGTCCCTGGTACCTTTTTCATAGGCTTTTTTTAGTTTGGGCAAGGACACAGGGGCACCATGATCCCCTATTGCCCGGGAGCCCCATGAGTTGTCAGTCCGCCCCTGCTATTGACAAATGTTGAAGTGATCCTGAGGCTTCAGGACATTCTAAATCACCTGCTGGGCCTGCTTATTTTAGGTCATTGATTTGAGACATTAATGCAGGCCATAGATGGAACGCTTATCGGCCGAATTGTCGTCCGATAAACGAAAAATCGGTTGTTGCTGCCACCAATGCTTACGAAAAACAGACGTTTTTCATAGATTTTCCAGCATGACCGATAAAAAGAAACGAGAAGAACTGTGAAAATTGGCCGACGACATTCCCCAATAACGGTGTGAACATCTGCCGACTTTTCGTTCAGACGAAAAATTCGGCCAATAAACGACCCGTCTATGGCCTGCATAAGTCAAAAACTGGCTATACACTTAGTTAATGGCAACCACTTTTGTGTCACTGAGAATTGCGAATAAGAGCAAAAGTAATCTCCTAGAAACTAATCTATCAACCACAAACTGGACTGACCAACAAAATTCAGCTGATTGTGAATTCAAAATTGGGCAACACATTGTCAGCTTCAGTTTATTATAAGAAGGAAATGAAATCAAAATGGGGGGAAAAACTCTGGTTTTCTAGCGTGTTCCTTGTAGTCAATTGACACCAGTGATTTTGACAAAAAAAGTAATCCAGACTTTGCGCTTTCAAATTGCCATGTAAGTGACCAGCGTGACAGGCTGGCAACTAGGTACACACTTGGAGTAATAGGGAGAGAACATATAGAGCCAAGTGAAGGGAGGACCCACACTCTGGATTCATCTCTTATAGCATTACCAGGAGTAAGGAGGGGAACTATCCGATCTGCTTTCTACAAAGGAACACACCAGATTACACCCATGTTTTGGGGTCTAATAGCACAAATTATCTGCATTGTTTGAACAACTACTTACAGTATATTAAGCAAACCGCAAGTATGATGGGACTCGCATTCAATTGAACTCACTTATGAATTGGACACTTGTAAAATTTCAATCACTAATAATGTTGGTTTATATGGATTGATATATAAAGTCTTTTAGGATTTTTTATTAAGTTAATTTAATGAACGTATATAAATAGTTAATTATGCACATTTAGCATAAACAAATACACATTTATTGAAAGGGCGCGGCACCATTGTTGCAATTTATTTGGAAGTATTATACATGTATATGAGGATGTAAAGAGGAGCTAGCGAACTTATTTCACAATTTAAATTCACAGTGGCTCACAGGTAATTGTAATATTAGGCTGGCAACTAGTGTTTTCAGAAGGTGGTCATCAAGTACCTCCTATGCATTTCTCTTGCGTCAGGTTTTCTTTAAAGCACATATCCTCACGTTGTGTATTGTGGACCCCTTTACTGTGCCCTTGTAGCTTTTGATTGCTTTAAAGCTTCTTCTTATATTTTGTTTCCTGATTTCCTCCTCTCTGCCTTCCCTTCCCCATCAACATGCTAATGAAAAGTTTATATAGAACCTTTCTGTTTTCATGACATACCTTTTTTTTTTTTTTTTTTTTTTTTTAAGTCCTAGTGACATTATTGCAGGCCATAGATGGGTTATTTATCGGCCGATTTTTCGTCCGAACGAATAATCGGCCGATATTCACACCGTTAGTGGGTCAATGTTGTCGGCCGATTTTCGTGGTTCTTCTCGGTTCTTTTTATCGGTCATGCTGGAAAAAGCATTGGTGGCCGATAAACTTGCTTCTCTAAGCAATGCAGGCAGATCATGGCTGGTGGGAGGGGTCAGCAGGGTTCAGTACATTATTATTATTATTATTATTATTATTATACAGTATTTATAAAGCGCCAATAGTTCGCTCAGTCGTTGTACATTACAAAGGGGGACAGAACATGTGACAGAACAATACCAATACAATGCAAAACATGAGGGGATCGAGGGCCCTGCTCCTTGGAGCTTACAATCTAGGAGGGAGGGGATGGTGGTACAGGAGGAGATAGCTGTGGGGGATGGAGTGGTAGGAAAAGTGGAGGAGGTCGGCAGGTTAGCAGGGGGTGGGGTAGGCTTCCCTGAAGAGGTGGATTTTCAGGGTGCGCCTAAAGGAGAGGAGAGTAGGTGATAATCTGATGGGTTGGGGCAGGGAGTTCCAGAGGATGGGTGACACCCTGGAGAAGTCCTGGAGGCAGGCATGGGAGGAGGAGACCAGGGAACTAGAGAGAAGGAGGTCTTGTGAGGAGCGGAGTGTGCGTGTTGGGCGGTACTTGGATATTAGGTCAGTGATGTAGTACGGGGCAGTATGGTGGACAGCTTTGTACGTCAGTGTTAGGATACATAGCTCAACATCCTCTATCCACAAAATAAGGTGGGCTCTATTTGATTTGCTAAAGCTTCTAATGGACATTGTGAGAAGCTCACAATGTGCAGTAAAGTTGGGGTAAACCATTTCAGTACAGGAGGATTTCTGTTAAACAAAGTCACATTTGTTTTTAGGTGTCACCTACGTGGGCAAAGCACGTAAGACCACCACAGCAAGCTAGGGGAGAAATAGTTGCAGATCCTGGCAGACTTTCTGGGTGGGCTTGGGGTGGCCCTCACATTCCTTCTGTACTGGAATGTATTGTAATTGTACTGTCTCCCTTTATATTGTAAAGCGCGGCGCAAACTGTTGGCGCTGTATAAATCCTGTATAATAATAGTATAAATTATGGAAACAATGAACCTCAAGGAATAAGATTGCCCTAACAAAAAACAGCTGCATCTACAATGTATACGTAGGTGCATAAACTTTCCGATGTTGGTACAAGACTTGAAATGGTGGAAGAAAACATTTTGGGCTAAGTGAAACTTACTAGATTACGGCCAACACTGCTGGTTCCAAAACAATCATGGTGGCATTCTCCAAATTTGTTATAGAGTTTTATTCTCCATCCATTTTAAATTTCAGTGGCTCTCAAAGTGATCAGAAGTTCTTCTGAAGTTTGAAGGAAGGTAAGCCCAGCTGGTCTCCAATTTGGCACAGAATCACAGATGGCCCTTATGCGTTGCGGAAACCCGTTTTTAATATTGTATGCACTGTTTTAAGAGCTTATCACTGGGTGAGGTTCGCCTTCTCTGATGTCAACTCCTAAGAGCATGAGTTAAGTGGAAATCTCAAGTGTTTAACCCCTGGGGTCACCAGTGAAAGCAAGAACCCTGCCAGAATAGTAAAAACGGGGCCAACTGTCAGCGTAATTTATGTAGCTTTTGGTCTTTTTTTGGTTTAGTCACTATTTTCATCTTTCTGAGCTCATATCCTGTTATGAATACAAGAAAACTTTGCAGCTTCAACATGGACTGCTGTGTCTGCTAGCGTGGATGTTGCACCTATGGAAGGCTTTAGGACCTCCCTTGGTGGAGTATTGTCGTTCGGGTCAGGGTGTAGAGTAAGCAACATTAGAAAAAAAAAATCCAGAACTCCAGGATTCAGTGCTGTTGTACTTCATTTTCATTTTAAATATAAAAAATGTATCTAATGATGTGATACTGAGGCTCCATGATGGAAAAAAACTGAAATACAGTTATTGATAGGGGCAGGCCAGGACCAGTCAGGTTGGGGAGGAAGGCAGTAGTGCATTTAGGTATTGTGCTGCCCTAGGCAAAACACAAAAATTGGATGCCCACCCCTCCCTGGCGGAGAAAGCCTGACAGTGACCAAAAACACCCCTGCCCAGGGGCGGACTGACAACTCATGGTGCCCCCGGGCAATAGGGGATCATGGGGCCCCTGTGTCCTTGCCCAAACTCAAAAAAGCCTATGAAAAAGGTACCAGGGGCATCTCATGGGGCCCCCTACAGACCCCGGGCCCTCGGGCAGTGTCCGAGTTTCCAAATGGACAGTCCGCCCCTGCCCCTGCCTTATCCCCCCCCCCCCCGGTGACAGAGAGACACTCACCTTCACAGCTCTGGCCATTCCCAGGAACGACAGTCGAGCTCTGCATACACCATCAAGCAGCCGTAGCCTCTCTTGGATCCCACCTGATCCTCATGCCACATATGTCCCTTCTTATGGGGGCTGTCCCCCTAAAAAGTGCCGCCCTAGGCGAATGCCTTGTTTGCCTTGTGGTAAATACACCCCTGAAGGAAAGGCCTTGATGATGCTGGACATTCTCCAACCAGAAAATGAGGCAAGCTCTCTATGACTTACTGCAGTTTCTAATGCACATTGTTAGAAGCTCACAGTGTGCAGTGAAATGAGAATAAGCAATTTCAGTCCAGAAGAGGAGCCTGTTCAATGGTGCGAGACTGAAGGGAAGGCTGGGGTCAACTTTAACAGTACCCCTCACTGGAAACGCCTAAATATAATAATTTGCAGGGGTGTCAAAATACATTTGGCCATATAGGGCATCACTTTATGGGAGCACTGTCCCTTTTAAGGACTTGTGTCTGTTTTGCAAAAGTCGGTGATTTCGCGATGGCAGTATTGTCTGCGGTCATTTTGCATCATGCTGTGTGATGGTTGGTATATCAAAATTAAGTTTATACTGAAGGAAATATTGTAGACACGTGAATTAGATCTGGACTCCTTTATTAAATCTCCTCGTAATTGCTTCCAGAATAGAACTCTGTTTGCTGGTTCTCACGCAGATTAGCCGCTGTAAACCTGCTATCAAAACTTCTCCATCTGAACTTGTCAGGTATTAGTGGGCCGAGATGGTAAAGGAAGCCCACAGCAAAACATAAAGCTCAACTCCGGTCCGTACTTTGTTGGTTTTGATTAGAAGCCAGGAGGGTTGAGATTTATGTCAGAATTGTACGGTTGTACAAACCTTTGTTTGATTTCTTTTGAACTATGCAATCTGTGGGTCTGCCTGTTCTAGAATCAGATTATATTACATGTGGTCATGTTAAAGGAGAACTCAAGCCTCACCTGTATCCACTGGCTGTGGTGCTTGGTAGAAATCTGTACTGCTTGTAGGCTGGTGCAGGCTCTTTTCTAGGCTGTAGTTGGCATTGAGCTTCAATTACAGGTGGGCTGGGGTTCAATGAGGGAAAGTGTCTTACCTTACTTGAGTGGCCATTTTGGGGAAGACAGTTGTCCGTGTGGATGCTGAAATCCCATGAGACCTTGGTAACCATCTTGATGGAGGACCTGATACATACGGTGTTCTGCATCATTCCGAGGCACATGGCGTGAGTGTCAGGTCAGGGATGAGAACCCACAGGTTAGAGAAAGCATTCAGTGCAGGCAAATGTTCAAGGTGACTAAGGATAGATCATGGAGGGTTTCAGCAATTTAAAACCCTGCCCGGTGCCTACACTAGGAAAGTGAAGTCTCCGCATACTTGTCAATGCATATTGATTAGCATTAGTCGCATTCAGTTGTACTTGTTCTGCAATGTTAGACGTTTCATAGCTTATTCCAACCAGGGTTCCTCCAGAGGTTGCAAAGGGTTCCTTGAACTGTGGTTGATTGTCCTTCCATTTGATGGTGCCTGTATAGTTCTGAGGCCATCACCACTTGGCAAAGCCAGCGGCAGGACACCAATGATCTTTTAAGTCATCTGTATTTGTGGCATTCTGACCACCAATGTAAGGGTTGCATTCTTCCTCCTTTTTTCCATTGACCCCCAATGAATGGGTTTTAGTAAGGGCTCCTCAAGACTTGAAAATTATTTTTAGGGGTTCAACCATGTAAATCGAAGGACTTTTTGGCACTATGCTGGGATTACATAACTAAAACATGGAGATTTCACAACTCTGGAACCTCCCATCCTGTTCTTGGAAAATAACATCTGCCTTCCCATGGTGGTTGGATTAAGAGGTCTGTGCCCCCTGTGTGGATATAAATTTTAGAGTATGTTCCTGACACTCATTATTACTGAAGAATTGGATTGGAGATGTTACGAAATGTCTTCCACATTATAGAATACATCCAGTAGATGTCTGATGTAAATGTACTATATTAGAATAGTGGATGGTATTGAAAAGGGCCATTCAGAGACTGATTGTTGGTTGTTGACTCTCAATTGTTGGTTGACTTTCAATTGTTGGTTTATCTCCTCCTCTCAGATCTCTGTGGAGTCTGTGGTAAGGGTCTTTCTCTGACAGAGACGGTGGTGATGGCTGGAGAACACTTACACCGTGTACTATAAATGTACTATATTATAATAGTGGGTGATCTTGCAAAGGGCCATTCAGGGCTGATTGTTGGTTGTTGACTCTGTTGGTTGACTCTCAATTGTTGGTTATCTCCTCCTCTCAGATCTCTGCGGATTCTGTGGTAAGGGTCTTTCTCGGACAGAGACGGTGGTGCGAGCTGGAGAACACTTTATACCATGTACATTGCTTCACGTGCTCCAAGTGTGACCAGCAGCTCCAGGGTCAGCAGTATTATGAGAACAAGGGACGTCCACTCTGTGAGGACTGCTACCAGGTGAGTGCATCAGTTTCCACCGGGGTATGGAATGCCAGAAGAAGGGGGTTCAATAAATTCAAAGTGTGAATGCAACTTTATAGAAGGCAGCTAGTGAAAGCAAATCAGTTAGCTACTAATGCTATTCAATAAAAAATATAACTGTGCTGAGGTCACTGTGTTTAACTGAATGCGTTTTCTAATTCATTGCAGCCAGAATTCCCAGGGTGCCTCACTGGGCTCTTGAGAGGATAATTTCTGTGTAATTTCCCCTCTCTGCTGCCTACATTTCCCATCGTTCTGTAATTAGGGTGGTGGAGTGCTGGACTCCAGGCTTCATGGTGGTTCCTAATAAATGATAAATAAATGGGTCTATCAAGAGATGACATCCAACACATTTCCGGCATTATGCACCTATAACCCTAATGAAAGGGTGTACAGTATATGCATAACCCCAGAAATTTTGGTGGCTGGAAAGCATTGGTGGCTCACTGATTGCTTGAGCCTCTTGCTGCCCATGTAACGCATCTGTGCAGTGGCAAGAAGGATGGGCTTTAATGCCCATAAGCTGCAAATATGGGCAGCACAGTGGTTAGCACTTCTGCCTGGCAGTACTAGGGTCGCAGGTTCAAATCCCAACCACAGCACCATGTGCCTGGAGTTTGCATGTTCTCCCTGTGCCTGCGTGGGTTTCCTTCAGGTACTCTGGTTTCCTCCTACACTCCAAAGACATGCTGGTAGGTTAATTGGCTCCTGTCTAAATTGGCCCTTGTATGTGTATGTATGAATGTGAGTTAGTGACCTTAGATTGTACGCCCCTTGAGGGTTATGGACTGATGTGAATGTACAATATATATGTAAAGCGCTGCGTAAATTGATGGCGATATATAAGTACCTGAAATAAAAAATAAATAAAAAATTTTTTCTATTGGCGGCGGAGCTTTCTTTGCACAGAGTGCGCTCCCAGCACAGTGACTGAGCTGGCAAAGGCAGCTCTTAGTCTCTGCTAATGATTAGTAGCCAGCAGAGTCGGCTCACAATCATATGACTACTGTGACAGCCAATCACAGTGGTCTGTGATTGGCCAATCCCCCCCTTCCCCTGATTCACATCTGGTATCAGCCACTCACTATCCTCTGTACAGTACAGCTCAGAATGGGAAAGGGAAGGGGATGACTCGGGTTTTCTGCATGCAAATGTGCTGACAAGGAACATGCTGATTGGAGGAATGAGTAGAGGGATAAGTTCATTAGTCTCTTGCTGCTCATTCAGTATCCAATTGGCATGCTGGGATTTGGAGCGTAGACAGCACTGTATTCCTTAACTGTAAAAGAGAATTAACTGTAAAAGAGAATTTTTTTTTGTCATTCACCTGGCTGTGCTGTGTGGCAGAGCTGTGCAAATCTCAGGACTGAATGGACAGAAATAAATGTTCTTTGCAGGTAAAACAGCACCCATATATGTATTTCATCTGTGTATTTAGTTGCATGCCTGGAGTTCAGCTTTAATAAATGTATAGAGTACATAAGCAAGGCATAATAATCGAATAGACAACATATCATCTGTGATTTAACTTGCCACAATGCTGTACTTGACCCGCCGTGAATGTCAGGTGCAAGTTACCCGTTATTATGTGCAGAGGAGCGTTTTCAGTAATATTCCTCTGTAATTCAGCCCCAGTATATTCATCACAGTTATTAGCCTGTTCACTCTCACTAATTGCCTGATTCTGAGCAGATTATTTTTTAATTTTTTTTTTTTTCCGTTCCTCGTCCTCTTCAGAAATATTCCATCATTGGTGCTGTGAGCCGGACTGTGATGATGAAACGCTTATCTCCTCCTCTAAGTGGATTATATTAGAGAGTGTTAGCGAGGCGAGATCACAGGGAGCCATTATATTACATCTCCCAGTTGCAGTGTAGACGCTCTTTGTGAACCATTGTGGCGTTCAGATCTGGGCCATTGTGAGGATTGGACGCCCTGCTGAGCGCTGTTTACCTGCTGAAAAGATTTATTTCAAAGGCGATTGTTTATTGTGTGTTAGCAGAGAGTTTTCTTTTGGGGTTATTTTTAGGTCATTTTGGGGAAAAAAAAGTACATCTCTGCAATAAATTCACATGTCCCCATTTAACTCCAGCAATTGTGTCCCCCTAATAGAGACAATCTTCGTTTCCATCGTGTGTGTGTGTGTGTGTGTGTATATGTGTGTGTGTGTGTATATGTATGTATGTATGTATATATATATGTGTGTGTGTGTGTGTGTGTGTGTGTGTGTATGTATGTGTATATGTGTGTGTGTGTATATGTATGTGTGTATGTATGTATGTGTATATATATATATATATGTGTGTGTGTGTGTGTGTATATACAGTTGTGTTCACAATAATAGCAGTGTGTTGAAAAAAGTGAATAAAGCTCAAAATCCTTCTGATAGCTTTTATTTCCATCCACACAAATGCATTGGGAACACGACACATTCTATTCCAAATCAAAACATGAAGAAAAATAGATCAAATTTGTGTTGTTCCTCTAAAAAAAGTGAAGAAAAGTGAATATTAGACGGTTCAAAAAAATTGCAGTGTTTGTATTCTTCTTTACAAACTCAAACATTCACTATATAAACTGAGAAATGTTTGAAGATTTTGCTTTCCTTTGAATGACTTCATGAATATTTGGTTGTAGTCGCACTGTTTGTGAGAACTGCTGTACATCTGTGTTGCATGGAGTCACCCAACTTCTGGCCCCTGTGATCAGGTATTCCAGCCCAGGATGATTGGACGACATTCCACAGTTCTTCTCTATTTCTTGGTTTTGCCTCAGAAACGGCATTTTTGATGTCACCCCACAAGTTTTCTATTGGATTAAGATCCGGGGATTGGGCTGGCCACTCCGTAACGTCCATCTTGTTGGTCTGGAACCAAGATGTTGCACGTTTACTGGTGTGTTTGGGGTCGTTGTCTTGTTGAAACACCCATTTCAAGGGCATTTCCTCTTCAGCATAAGGCAGCATGACCTCTTCAAGTATTCTGATGTATTCAAACTGATCCATGATCCCTGGTATGCGATAAATAGGCCCAACACCGTAGTATGAGAAACATCCCCATATCACGATGCTTGCACCACCATGCTTCACAGTCTTCACAGTGTACTGTGGCTTGAATTCAGTGTTTGGGGGTCGTCTGACAAACTGGGGCTTCTTGCAGATAGCTTGGCTTCACATAGGCGTCTTCTAATTGTAACAGTCCTCACAGGGAACGTCACACCTTCTTTCATCTTCCTGGAGCTGATTGCTGGCTGAGTCCTTGGCATTTTGGCTATTCTTCTATCCATTCCAATGGTAGTTTTTCACTTTCTTCCACATCTTTCAGGTTTTGGTTGCCATTTTAAAGCATTTGCGATCATTTTAGCTAAGCAGCCTATCATTTTCTGCACTTCTTTATATGTTTTCCCCTCCAATCAACTTTTTAATCAAGGTACGCTGTTCTTCTGAACAATGTCTGGAACGACCCTTTTTCCTCAGAATTTCAGAGAGAAATGCACTGTAACCAGCATGTACAACATTTGCTGCCTTCCTTCCTTAAATAAGGGCAATAATTGCCACCTGTTTTTCAAAGAATGAATGACTTCACTAATAGAACTCCACACTGCTATTATTGTGAACACGCCCCTTTCAATTAGTGATTCAATGACACAGAATCAGCAGCATGCATGTCATGACTGTCGGGTCTGTTGGATTTCTATTACTCTACTACACCTGCTAGGAAATTATTTGCCATGTAAAAATATCATTTCCACCAAAAACAGTGATTGATCCGGTTAGTGATGTCTGACTGCTATTATTTTGAACATAACTGTGTGTGTGTGTATGTATATGTATATGTGTATATATATATATATATATATATATATATAATTTATGTACACTGCTCAAAAAAAAAAAATTAAAGGAACACTTTGAAAACACATCAGATCTCAATGGGGAAATATATCCTGCTGGATCTCCATACTGACATGGACGGGGGGTAATGTGTTAGGAATGTAAGGATGCCCCATTGTTTCATGGAAATGAAAATTATCAACCTACAGAGGGCTGAATTCAAAGACACCCAAAAATCAAAGTGAAAAAATTATGCAGCAGGCGAGTCCATTTTGATGTAATGTCATTGCAGCAACTCAGAATGGTCCTCAGTAGCATGTATGTCCCCCACGTGCTTGTATGTATGCCTGACAATGTCATGGGAGGCTTCTAATGAGATGACGGATGGTGTCCTGGGGGATTTCCTCCCAGATCTGGACCAGGGCATCACTGAGCTCCTGGACAGTGTGAGGTGCAACCTGGTGGCGTCGGATGGACCGAAAACATGACATCCCAGAGGTGTTCTATTGGATTTAGGTCAGGTGAGCGTGGGGGCCAGTCAATGATATCAATTCTTTCATCCTCCAGGAACTGCCTGCATACTCTCGCCACATGCCGGGTATGAGGGCCAGGTATTGCCGTGCACCAGGAGGAACCCAGGACCCCCTGCACCAGCGTAGGGTCTGACAATGGGTCCAAGGATTTCATCCCGATACCTAATGGCAGTCAGAGGGCCATTGTCTAGCCTGTAGAGGTCTGTGTGTCCCTCCATGGATATGCCTCCCCAGACCATCACTGACCCACTACCAAAACGGTCATGCTGAACCATGTTACAGGCAGCAGAACGTTCTCCACGGCTTCTCCAGACCCTTTCATGTCTGTCACATGTGCTCATCGTGAACCTGCTCTCATCTGTGAAAAGCACAGGGGGCCAGTGATGGACCTGCCAATTCTGGTGTTCAATGGCAAATGCCAATCCAGCTCTATGGTGCGAGGAAGTGTGCACAGGGCCCACTAGAGGACGCCGGACCCTCAGGCCACCCTCATGAAGGCTCTGGCAGGGCTCATCCTGTTCCTCCTTGCACAAAGGAGCAGATGCCGGTCCTGCTGATGGGTTAAGGACCTTCTATGGCCCTGTCCAGCTCCTCTAGAGTAACTGCATGTCTCCTGGAATCTCCTCCATGCTCTTGAGACTGCTCTGGGAGACACAGCAAATCTTCTGGCAATGGCATGTATTGATGTGCCATCCGGAGGAGTTGGACTTCCTGCGCAACCTCTGTAGGGTTCAGATATCGTCTCATGCTACCAGTAGTGACACTGACCCTAGCCACATGCAAAACTAGTGAAAAACAGTCAGAAAAGATGAGTAAGGGAAAAAAATGTCAGTGGCCTCCACATGTAAAACCGTTCCTGTTTTGGGGGTTGTCTCATTGTTGCCCATCTAGTGCACCTGTTATTAATCAGTTTCAGATGCTTTGGTATTAATAAAATTTAGCAACCCCCTGTGCTACTTACCTGACCAGATCAATATCTCAGGAGTTTAACTGACTTAATGCTATACTCTGATTAAAAAACTGTTCCTTTTAAATTTTTTTTGAGCAGTGTATATGTATATTGCCAAAAGTATTGGTCGGCCGGCCTTTCCACACACATGAACTTTAATGGCCCCCCAGGTCTTAGTCTGTAGGGTTTCAATATTGAGTTGGCCCCGCCCTTTGCAGCTATTGCAGCTTCAACTCTTCTGGGAAGTCCGTCCACAAGGTTTAGGAGGGGTGTCTATGGGAAGGTTGGACCATTCTTCCAGAAGCACATTTGTCAGGCACTGATGTCGGGGGAGGAGGCCTGGCTCACAGACTCTGCTCTAATTCATCCCAAAGGTGTTGTATGGGGTTGAGGTCAGGACTCTGTGCAGGACAGTCAAGTTCCTCCACCCCAAACTGGCTCCTCCATGTGTTTTATGGGCCTTGCTTTGTGCACTGGTGCGCAGTCAGTCATGTTGGAACAGGAAGGGGCCATCCCCAAACTCTTCCCACAAAGTTGGGAGCATGAAATTGTCCAAACTGCCAGACGGTGGCAGTGCAGGGGCGGGTGGGCCGTTTATAAACACGGTCTCCCCGCCCCCTGCTTGTGCGCGCTCCCTGGGAGCGTGGAGCACCGCGATCCGGTGCCCGCTGTGTCCTCCGGACACAGTGGAACACCGATCATCTTACGGGACCTCTCTGCGAGGTTCCAATCATGTGATCACTGATTGGTCAATCAGTGATCACATGCAGAGTAGTAAGCAATGATGTCACTTCTGACATCATTGCTTACTACTTGTGAAATGTGTAAATGATCACAGAGGTCACATGGTACAGGGCTATTCACAACAGCCTTGTACCATGTGACAAGCTGTGACCAATCACAGCTCACTCAGTAGTTCTCAATGGCTGCAAGAATGTAGCCAGAAAGAAGAAGTGATTACTTTTACAGCCTTTGAGTATAAAAGCAATCAGTGTAAAAAAAAAAAAAAAAAAAAAAAATATTCATCACCCCCACAAGTAGCACCATGGTGACACTGTACTGCTAGGGTGACAGCATGTAAAAAAAAACCCCATAAAATAATAAATATATATATGTGTATATGTATATGTATATATATATATATATATATATATATATATATATATATATTTATATATATATATATATATATATATATATATGTGTATATATATATATATGTGTGTGTGTATATATATATATATATATATATGTGTTTGTATATATATATATATATGTGTATATATATATATATATGTGTATATATATATATATATATGTGTATATATATATATATATGTGTATATATATATATATATGTGTATATATATATATATATGTGTATATATTATATATATGTGTATATATATATATATAAATGAAATTTAAATTATAATTTTTGGTTATACACTAATTTGGGTTATTTTTTTTTTTTTTTTTACTAAAAAGATAACGGAATAAATTTTGGCCAAGATTTATGATGAAATATTATTTATTTGCAAAATTTTATAAGAAAAACACTTTTTTTTCAAAATTTTTGGACTTTTTCATTTACATAGCAAAAAAAAATAAAAATCCTAGCAGCGAATAAATACCACCAAATAAAGCTTTATCTGTCTCAAAAAAATGCTAAAAAAATTCATATGGGTACAGTGTGTTGCATGACCGCCGCGCAATTGTCATTCAAAGTGTGATAGCGCTGAAAGCTGAAAATTTGCCTGGACAGGAAGGGGGTGAAAGTGTCCGGACTGGAAGGGGGTGAAAGTGTCCGGACTGGAAGGGGGTGAAAGTGTCCGGACTGGAAGGGGGTGAAAGTGTCCGGACTGGAAGGGGGGGCAAGTGTCCGGACTGGAAGGGGGGGCAAGTGTCCGGACTGGAAGGGGGGGCAAGTGTCCGGACTGGAAGGGGGTGAAAGTGTCCGGACTGGAAGGGGGTGAAAGTGTCCGGACTGGAAGGGGGGGCAAGTGTCCGGACTGGAAGGGGGGGAAAGTGTCCGGACTGGAAGGGGGTGTAAGTGTCCGGACTGGAAGGGGGTGTGTAAGTGTCCGGACTGTCCGGACTTGAAGTGGTTAATTGTAGCAGAGACAGAGCTATCCATGACCTAGAGAAGTACAGTTAGTTAGGATCTTATTGGATTTCTGGAACATCAAGTATTTTTTTGTACTTGAGTTTTTGTTGTTATTATTTTACAAAGTTTATATAGTACCAGCGGTGTTGCCAACCTACCAGAATGAAATTCACTGACACAAGACCCAAAATTTACTGGCACAGCCAAGTTTTTTTTTTTTTTTTTTTTTCCGGCATTTCCAAAAGTTAAACAAATTACAGTTTTAAGTGCAAATTTCAGTATATAAGCTACAAACAAGTACAGTGTGCAATTAGCAATGTGATTTTGGGTAGATATTAGAGGACAAGTTCACCTTTGGGAATCGTTTTTAGGGTGGAACAGGTGTTACATGTTCCCAGTGCAGCCGCTGACCGATATTTCCTCCCCCCCCCAAATTCAAAGTCCGCTCTCAGATCGTGACTCTCAATCTTGTTATACGTCCTTCTTTTTTTTTTTTTTTTCTTTTCCTTTTTTTTTTTTGTTTTTTTTACAGGATGATTTTTTAATAGGATGAACATTAGCTGGGATGTTGTCACTTGTTAATAAAGAATTATTAATATAATGAAGTATAATTAGTTGCTGTAAGGTTGTAATAATGCTGAACATGTTTTTAGGACACATTGGAATGTTGTGCCGTGTGCCAAAAGAAGATTACCGAACGTTTGCTGAAGGCGATGGGCAAGGCCTACCACCCAGAATGCTTCACCTGTGCGGTGTGCCACCGTCCTCTGCAGGGCGAGCCTTTTATAGTGGACCAGAACAATCTGCCGCATTGCGTTGCAGATTACCACCGGTGAGTTTTTTTTCATGGTGGACATGGAGTCCCTCAATCCTGATTTCCATCCCCGCATTTCTGCTTTCTGTCCTCCATTCCTTTAGGCCAGAGCTCTTCAAACCTTTCAAACAAAAGGTCAGTTTACTGTCCTTCAGACTTTAGGGAGACAGATTGTGCCTCTTCATTGGTGTCAGTGGGAGGAATAGTGCTCCATCCTTGGTATTAGTAGGAGGAATAGTGCCCCATCATTGGTGTCAGTGGATGGAATAGAACCTCTTCATTGGTGTCGGTGGAAGGAATTGTGGCCCATCGTTGGTATTAGTGGGAGGAATAGCGCTCCATCATTGGTATCGGAGAGAGGAATAGCGCTCCATTGTTGGTGTCAGTAGGAAGAACAGTGCCCCATCATGGGTGTCAGTGGTAAGAATAGTGCCCCATCATGGGTGTCAGTTTGTTTGAGGCATAGTATCCCATTATAGGTGTCAGTGGGAGGAATAGTACCCCATCATGGGTGTCAGTGGGAGGAATAGTACCCCATTGTAGGTGTCAGTGGGAGGAATAGTACCCCATCATGGGTGTCTGTGGGAGGAATAGTGTCCGATTATGGGTGTCGGTGGGAGGAATAGTGTCCGATTTATGGGTGTCGGTGGGAGGAATAGTGTCCGATTATGGGTGTCGGTAGGAGGAACAGTGTCCAATTATGGGTGTCGGTGGGAGGAACAGTGTCCAATTATGGGTGTGGTGGGAGGAATAGTGTCCAATTATGGGTGTCGGTGGGAGGAATAGTGCCCCGACATTGGTGTCATTGGTATAAATTATGCCTACTGTTGGTGTCAGTGGAAGAAGGGAGGAATAGTGACATATCAAATGGAAGGAATAGTGCCAAAAGGGCCACATAAAGGTGAGCAAAGGGCCGCAGTTTGGAGACCAATGCTCTAGATCACTGGTTCTCAAACTTTTTCATACCAGGGGCCAATGAATTCTTCCAAATTCTTCCATGACCCAATAGTGATAAAAAGTTGATACTTAAACAGTAAGAATTGGAATACAAAATATGTATTGAAATTCTGGAAGGTGTCACTCTTGGAGGATGGAGGTTGTGGACTGGGTTAGGGGACTCTGTAATTGGTTTGGTGGCCCTGTAGGGGATGAGGTTTCTGGAGAAGCTGGGGCACTCTGGGGGTCAGCAGGCTCTACAGCAGGCTGGGGGGCACTGTAGGCTGAGGGCTCTCAGGGGGGGCTGGGGCACTATGGGTTCCAATGGGAGGTTGGGGGCACTTATGTAGCTGGGAGGTTAGGGATTTTCAGCAGTCTGGAGGCTCAGAAGAAGAGTCTGCAGCTCCACATAGGCCGTGGTCTGGTGATTGAGAACCACTGCTCCTAGGGGGTTTTTCCATTTCTAATCTTTGCAATGTGTTTTGTATTTTGTAGGCGGTATGCCCCTCGCTGTTCCGTTTGTGGGGATCCAATTGCCCCCGAGCCTGGCCGGGATGAGACAGTGCGGGTGGTGGCTTTGGAGAAGAACTTCCATATGATGTGTTACAAGTGTGAGGTGAGATTAAGAAGCTTTTCCATCCGATCCTAAAACCTTACAAGATTTTTGTGTCTTTTTACCTCATTAAATGTGTAAATGTTCTTTTTAATGAATTTTGTTCACGGGAAAAAAAGTATAATTGATACCTCTTGTTACAGCATATACTTCTCAATTTCATTCTCATGTCTTCTATCTCACCCTGCCTTGAAGTTGCGTTTATTTTTTCTACAGTTTTTTTTCAGTTTTCTGATTTTGGCAGTAGTATCATGTTCTACTATGTTAACCACTATACTATGTACTCAGGGCCAGGACAAGGGGTGGGCAGGAGGGGCAGCTATCCTGGGCGTAGTGGGGATTTGGGAGGTTGTGCTAGAAGGGGTGATTTTGGAGGGGGGGGGATTTGTGTCAGGCAGGGGGATTTGGGTTGGGGGGGGGGGGATTTGTACTAATAGGGACGATTATGGGGATTTTTTGGTCGGAGGGGGAATTTAGGAAGAGATTAATGCAAGGAGAGGGGGTGTGGGGGATTTCTTCTGGGAGAGGGGGATTTGGAAGGGAAGAGGATTAATGCTCAGAGGGGCAATTTTGAGAGGTAGAGAATTTGTCCTAGGAGAGGGGAATTTGGGGAGCAGAGAGAATTTGAGCTGGGATGGGGGGATTTGTACTGGAAGTGGGGGAATTTTTTTTTTTTTGTGGAGAATTTTGGCTTAATAGGGAATTTATGCTAGGGGGTAAGTGTGTCGATTAGTGCTCCCATTGTTTTTGGCGGGAGGGGATTTTTGCTAACACATGATGCTCATAATTTTTTTTTTTGGGGGGGGGGGGGGGGGGGTTTCGGGCACCATTTGGCAACTTCGCCCTGGGCACTAGACAACCTTGTCCTGGTGCTGAATGTGCTATACCATGTTAGTGGAATGTTTTTTGCATTTTGGTGATACACATTTTGGCTAACTTAGATTTATTTTTGAAGAAGAGGAGGGCTGCCAAAGAAACCCAACATGTTTTGAAAACCCACATTTTTTTTTTTTTTTTTTTTTTTTGAGTTAACCAAATGCCCAACATTTTTATATAGTTAGCTGGTCCTTTCTATTGCCCCTTCCTTTGGTTTGCCACCCATTCTTTATGTGCTTTGCCTCACAGCCTGACCTCTCTAACGCTTTGGACAGTTGGTTTATTTATTTATTTTTTATTTATTTCAGGTACTTCTATAGCGGCCATCAATTTACACAGCACTTTACATATATATTGTACATTAACATCAGTCCCTGACCCTCAAGGGGTGTACAATCTAAGGTCCCTAACTCACATTCATACATACACATACTAGGGCCAGTTTAGACAGGATCCAATCAACCTACCAGCATGTCTTTGGAGTACTCGGAGGAAACCCACACAGGCACAGGGAGAACATGCAAACTCCAGGCAGGTGGTGCCTTGGTTGGGATTCGAACCAATGACCTGAGTACTGCCAGGCATAAGTGCTAACCACAGGGGCGGACTGACCATTTGGAAACTCAGGCACTGCCCGAGGGCCCAGGGTCAGTAGGGGGCCCCATGAGATGCCCCTGGTACCTTTTTCATAGGCTTTTCTGAGTTTGGGCAAGGATACAGGGGTCCCATGATCACCTATTGAGGGCCTGGGTCAGTAGGGGGGCCCCATGAGATGCCCCTGGTACCTTTTTCATAGGCTTTTTTGAGTTTGGGCGAGGACACAGGGGCCCCATGATCCCCTATTGCCCGGGGGCCCCATGAGTTGTCAGTCCGCCCCTGGCTAACCATTAAGCCACTGTGGTTTAGCCTCACCCTAAAGCTGGCTGTATACTAGTAGAATATTGTTCAAAATGTTTGTTTTTAGGAAATTTTGGTTTCATTTTTTTTAACGTTTAGTGGCGTCAAATCAACATTTATGTTTTTATCACTCGAGAAAAAATTTCCTTGGTGTTCTATACCCTCCTTTCAGCTGTGTTCTGTCCTCTTTTATCCTTTAAAGCTCATTTTCTTTGCACTTTCCCTTTTTACCCTTCCATTTCATCCCCCATTTTTTTTTTTTTTTTGTGCTAGCGTGACCCTCCCTTTTGCCCTTTAATTTCCCTTCCCTTGCTGTCTTGTCATTTTTTTTTACATTTCCCATCTCTGTTCTTTGTTGACATTTTAATCAACTTACATAAGGCTTTTAGACCCTAAAGCAGGCCAAAAAAAAAAAACAAACAAAACTTGTGTCAGTCGTTGAATTGTTCGTTTTTCGCATCATTAGTGTGCCGTAATCGAAAGTGCTTGATCCAACATGCAGTGCCAAAATTGTATGAGCTATTTTTGTTTATGATCCACAGGACGTTCATTTTACGATTTGTCTATGGCCTTCTTAAAATCTAAAGCACCAGGAAAAGGAAATGTATTTTCCAAAAAATAGTTTTAGTTCTTGTCAGATTTAAGCCTCATTCACAAAATACGTGCAGAAAAAATGATGGATGTAAACTCGTTTCTCTGCAATTGAAATCTGCTTATTTTTTCCATTTTCATGTGTGCTTCAATACATTTTATATACTGTATGTTCCAGATTCCAGCATAGAATAAATCTGCAGGATACTAGTATTGTGGTGTGAACATGGCACATAGAGGACAATTGTTTTGGTTGTGCCCTTGCAGAACGCGTGCAGAAAAACTGACATCTCAGTGGTGTGAAGGAGGCCTTCAAGTGAAACTAAACTTATCAATTTAAAGGTTTCAAAAAACAGTCTTGGCATGCCAGGAATGCGAACTGCCACTTGTGCCTGTGTTCTCAACCAAACCATCAAATGGCTGGAGTCATAATTGGATCACATGTGCAGCATCATGGCCATTACAGATCAAACAGAGTCTAACATGGCAGCTTCCTTGGCTGAAAAAGATAGGAGGGTTTAGTTCCACTTAAAGAATGACAGACAATAATGATCCTAAAATTGGCCATACCCTGTCAATTATTTTTTTTTCCATTCAGCCTGCAGGCTGATTGGAAAACGATTCCTCTATCAATGCTACACAGTGCGGATGGCTGAATCTCCTGATGTGTCAACCCCACCGGCTGTCAAAATACCCAACCAGCAGGCACATGGACATTGGATGTAGTCACTGTTCGGCCCACAACTTTCCACCCGGTTCCTTTGATTCTAAGGGCTGCCCACTGAGTGAATTTTGCTCAGTTCCTCGGCACCCGGCCTCAGTGTACACCCGACTTTATCTTTGTGTAAAGTTTGAGAATTGATCTCATAGACAGCATGCATACACAATATGTTTTTGACTTCTTTCTGATATAAATTTTAATGTTTTTGGGACATTTTTAATTAGATTAAAAAAGTTAATCATTTAGTCCTGATCATAAAAAGATTATTTATATACGCACTGTGGGGTTGATTTACTAAAACCGGAGAGTGCAAAATCTGGTGCATAGTAGCCAATGGGCTTCTCACTTCAGCTTGTTCAATTATTATTATTATTATTATTATTATTATTTATATATTATTATTATACAGGATTTATATATATTATTATTATAAAGGATTTATATATTATTATTATACAGGATTTATATATTATTATTATACAGGATTTTATATATTATTATTATTATACAGGATTTATATATTATTATTATTATACTGGATTTATATACTATTATTATACTGGATTTATATACTACTATTATTATTATACAGGATTTATATTATTATTATACAGGATTTATATATTATTATTATACAGGATTTATATAATATTATACAGGATTTATATATTATTATTATTATTATTATTATACAGGATTTATATAATATTATACAGGATTTATATTATTATTATACAGGATTTATATATTATTATTATTATACAGGATTTATATCGCACCAACAGTTTGCTCAGCACTTTACAATATAATGGGAGATAATACAGCAAAAATACAGTTCAATACAAGTGGGATAGGAGGGCCCTGATCCTGGGAGCTTACAATCTAGGAGCTTTGACAAAAAAAAACTGAAAGCTGATTGGTTCCTATGCAGAGCTGCACCAGATTTTGCACTCTACATTTTTAGTAAATCACCCCCACTGTTCCCTTTCATGCCTTGTCAGAGGTACTTGTGAACCTTTTTTTTATTTCTCTCTTTTTTTTTTTCCCCATTTTCTCTCTTCTAGGACTGTGGTAGCTCTCTCTCTGTTGAGGCTGATGACTCTGGCTGTTTCCCATTGGATGGCCATGTTTTGTGCAAGAAGTGCCACATAGTGCGTGCGCGGGCTGTTCACTGATGCCACCTCCTACTACAAGTACCAGCCTTGTCCACCAAAGACACTTGGACCTTCTCCTGACCACACCCGTCCATGCTGCTGCTTCTACTGTAGTTCAGTGTTATGGATATTAACCAGTTTACAGCTTCTGCCGAAACTGATAGTTAACTGCTGGTCAGCCATCACTTAGCTGCTAACCACTAGTTAGTAAATCTTTGCTTTTAGCCTGCCAGAAAAAAAAAATGTTGTCTAAGTCTTAGTTCCAACATATTCTCTATATAATTTTTTTTTTTCCTGTGTTTCAGAACTTTTTTCATCTCATGATCTGAGTGAGACTATCGATGGTCAGGTTTTTGTTTTTTTACCTGCAATACCTTTTAGTTTATCTTAATTTTGTTTTTGTATTTTATTCCTAAATTTTCAGAAGGCCTCTTGAGACCATTAGAATGCCATGTGCTCTTCCTTTAATTCTTTAGACTCCAAACCTTTTTGTTTTCACGTTATTTTCTCACTAACCCGTTCATATGTGTTACTGATTATTTGCACATGATTTTTTTTTATAACCAAAATTAGGTTTAATGTGACAAAAAGAAGTATCTGTTCTGCCAAAACGGATTCTCACGAATAATGGCCCCAAGCCGATGAAGTGTACAGAGACTGTAATATGGAATAAAACCCCCTCCGAAATACTTTAAAATGTGTCAGAACTTCAGAAGTATATAGGACCATATTTTTTTAATAGTGACCTTTTTTTCCTTTTTTTTTTTTTTACGATAAACTATCATAGTAAAAAATAAAAATAAAAAAAAACATGAAAAGGAACTGTGGCTTGGTCATTTCTTCGCTTTAGCATTTCTTCTTTTGTAGGCTCTGTTATGCGGGTTTGATTATGCTGCACCATTTATTGATAGGAGCAATATGGATGAGTGCTTGGAGTGAACATTCAGTAGACCAGTAGGCTCACTTTAAAAATTATAAAGTTCAACACTGCACTGATGGAGCTGTGGATGATGGAGTTCTGGGGGCTCTGGTTGGTGGGGCTCTGGTCAGCCCCGGCTGGTGGGGCTCTGGCTCAGCCCCGGCTGGTGGGGCTCTGGCTCAGCCCCGGCTGGTGGGGCTCTGGCTCAGCCCCGGCTGGTGGGGCTCTGGCTCAGCCCCGGCTGGTGGGGCTCTGGCTCAGCCCCGGCTGGTGGGGCTCTGGCCCGGCCCCGGCTGGTGGGGCTCTGGCCCGGCCCCGGCTGGTGGGGCTCTGGCCCGGCCCCGGCTGGTGGGTCTCTGGCCCGGCCCCGGCTGGTGGGTCTCTGGCCCGGCCCCGGCTGGTGGGTCTCTGGCCCGGCCCCGGCTGGTGGGTCTCTGGCTCGGCCCCGGCTGGTGGGTCTCTGGCTCGGCCCCGGCTGGTGGGTCTCTGGCTCAGCCCCGGCTGGTGGGTCTCTGGCTCAGCCCCGGCTGGTGGGTCCTGGCTCAGCCCCGGCTGGTGGGGCTCTGGCAGCTTTGGGTAATGGGACCCTGGAAGCTTTGTGATGGGGCTTTTTTTTTTCAAAAGGTTTTGACATTTTATTGACACATCATTTGATGTGTCAATAAAATGTCAAAACTTTTTTCAAAAAATTGTTTGGCTTACTTATATTCCAAGGTTGCCTTAAAAATCCCACTAAGGGCTCATGTACACTGCAGCTGAAAAACTGACGTTCAGGAGGTGTTCAGCGTTTTTTTTTTTTCCAGCAGCCCCTGAACTCTCCCTAATGTTTTCCTATGTGTCCATGTACACATCTTCGTTTACAGTATTTTTTTTTTTTAACACTGAAAACTTGCGTTCAGCAGTCGATTTCATCAGCGTTTCAAACGCAAAATGCTTGTAAATGCGGCAACTCGCGTTTATAAGCGTTTGCAAATTTTTTTTAATGCTTCCAGTTCCGGATGCTGTCCGGAGCCTTTTTTTATCATGAAAAAATGCATGCAAAGTGTTTTCAAGGTACTCAAATGGACAAAACACTGAACATAGGATGTTCTTACCAAGCTTGTCCCACATTGTAAGGACCAATTCACACCTCAGACCTCTCCCACCCTTGGAAACAAAAGATATGTTAATGACCGTTCACACCTCAAATTCCTCATGCAGACCCCCTGCCAGGCGGCCTTGATGACTCCCTCCACCAGACACCTTTCCCACCTTTGGAAACAAAAGAAATTTTAATGAGCAACTCACACCTAAGCTAATCTCAACACATTCTGCTGTCTCTGCTTCTACTCTCTGTATTTCTCTGAAATAGTTAATAATTTACCACAATGCAGTGCATTCTGGGCATTTGGGAGATTCTCCTGTGCTTATCTTTAAAATAACGCTTCTAAATGCAAACGCACAGAAACGCGGTATGCAAACGCGGCTAAACGCGTTTTTTTTAGCCTCCGTTTTCCAGCAGTCAGTTTCCATCGTTCAGAAGTGTCCCGTGTACATGGGGCCTAAATGTAAGGTACAAATCTCTCTATTAGAAAAACAGGGATGATGACAACCATACCCTATGTTACAGCGGATGACTTTTTGATTAAAATCCCCTATCCTAGTACAAATGCCCCTTCCCCCAAAATATTTTTCCCTCCTTGCACAAATCCCCCCTCCCTCCATTTTCTAGCGCAAATCCCTCCAAATCATAACTCACAAATTTCCCCTCCTAGAACAATTCTTACCCCCTGCTGCCCCCTAATTCTCCTTTTCAACACAAATCATCACCCCCTCCCCAACCACACTTTATACCATGGTGCCCAGGGCAGCCGCCCCTCCTGTCCCCCCCTTGTCTTGGCCCTGCTAGTGATCCTGCTATGAAGGTCCTTGTTCAGGCACTTTTTGTTATGGGATGACCACCACCTTCCCATTGTGCTCCCCTGGTAAAGACTACAAGCGCCCAACATAGGTATGGTCCAAGTATATCACGATCAGAAAGCCGCTAACAAAAAGCAATGATATGCGGGTGACGATGGAGCGAGAACATCTAGAAAGTGAATAAAAGAAGCTGGAGGCAATCAGTAGCACTGCGATAAGAGGATGAAAGAAACAAACGGCAATTATTCCATACACGGTGCTTTAGTGCAGCTTTTCTCAACCATGGTGCCCAGGCACCCTGGGGTGCCTTGAGGTTTCTTCAGGGGTGCCTTGGTAAAATGTCTAAAAATTACCCAAAACTTGTATACAAGCCAGCGGGTGGAATAAACCTGCCTTTTAGGTAATAAATTACCTCTACTGTTGGGTGTCCTACATGTGTGGATGTTGCTGCCCTATAAAAACTATTAGAATAGTTTTTCACATTTTAGAATGGGGTGCCTCAAGACTGTCCATAATTATAAAGGGTGCCTCAAGACTGTCCATAATTATAAAGGGTGCCTCAAGACTGTCCATAATTATAAAGGGTGCCTCAAGACTGTCCATAATTTTAAAGGGTGCCTCAGGACTGTCCATAATTTTTAAAGGGGTGTCCTCAGGACATAATTTTTAAAGGGTCCACTGTCCATAATTTTTAAAGGGTGCCTCAGGACTGTCCATAATTTTTAAAAGGGTAAAAGGTGCCTCAGGACTGTTCATAATTTTTAAAGGGTGCCTCAGGACTGTCCATAATTTTTAAAGGGGCCTCGCCATAATTTTTAAAGGGTGCCTCGGGACTGTCCATAATTTTAAAGGGCCTCGGGACTGTCCATAATTTTAAAGGGCGCCTCGGGACTGTCCATAATTTTTAAAGGGCGCCTCAGGACTGTCCATAATTTTTAAAAGGGTCCATAATTTTAAAGGGCGCCTCAGGACTGTCCATAATTTTTAAAGGGCGCCTCGGGGACTGTCCATAATTTTAAAGGGCGCCTCAGGACTGTCCATAATTTTTAAAGGGCGCCTCAGGACTGTCCATAATTTTTAAAGGGCGCCTCGGGACTGTCCATAATTTTAAAGGGCGCCTCAGGACTGTTAAAATGGGCGCCTCAGGACTGTCCATAATTTTAAAGGGCGCCTCAGGACTGTCCATAATTTTTAAAGGGTGCCTCAGGACTGTCCATAATTTTTAAAGGGTGCCTTCAAGACTGAAAAAAGGCCTTGACTGAAAAAACGTTGAGAAACACTGCTTTAGTGAACTAAAAGTCAACCAGTTAGGGTTTCATCTACTATAATATCCGTCCGAATAAGACCCTTTAATGCTATGAATGCTATAAAACCTCAGAAAAGTCTCCCTTCTAAACCTGACACCATCTCCCTCCCCCTCTTCGCTCTGGAAAGCTCCACGTCCGCAGGGAACGCAGACTGCACCATTGATTGCAATAAATCTCTGGGCTGTGGCCATTCCAGCAAACAACATGCAGATGTCAGACACAAGAAGACATTTCTGGTTTTTATTGGGGGGGGGGGGAATCTGTAACGCCACAGCAACATGATACGGGCTTTACAAGCCACCCGAATGATGTCAGAAGAATATGTACTGTAATCTGAGAGTGCGCTCGCACAGAACACAGATGTGTCTCTGTATATAATATATCAAATAGCAAGCCTTAATGTCTTACTAAACCCTCAACCGTAAAATCAGTCTGTATATACAGGAAAGCATGCTTGTTATACTCACTGTGGAACCTAAGGGGTTAATCCTCTGCATTGGGTAAAAAAAAAGCTGTTTGATCCTGTCCTCTCTGATCCTCCCCTTCATCTGCTGTCCCAGATATAGTGAATTCATGGTCCAGGGAGACTAGATATAGTGAATGCAGGGTCCGGGGAGACCAGATATAGTGAATGCAGGGTCTGGGGAGACCAGATATAGTGGATACAGGGTCCGGGGAGACCGAATATAGTGAATGCAGGGTCCGGGGAGACTAGATATAATGAATGCAGGGTCCGGGGAGACCAGATATAGTGAATGCAGGGTCCGGGGAGAGCAGATATAGTGAATGCAGGGTCTGGGGAGACCAGATATAGTGAATGCAGGGTCCGGGGAGACCAGATATAGTGAATGCAGGGTCTGGGGAGACTAGATATAGTGAATGCAGGCTCCGGGGAG